GAATACTTTCCGTTTTAAGCACAAGGATAGTTTCTCAGATAAGAATATTTTCAAACCTCTAAAAGTCCTCCAAACCATTTATCTCACAGCATAATATCTGTTAATTAAGCTTTGCACCCCTGAACTCCGGGATTAAATTTTTTGCACGTTTTAGTTTCTACTGTAGTCCGTTCAGCATTATCATCCTCAGCCCCTGTCGATCCACTGCTGGGTAAAAGACTCTCCAAGACTTCGTCACAAAATTCTGTTATCTGTCGTAACAACCTCTAATCGGTCTTACAACCTCTGCACAGCGAAAACAATCAGAACTTCCTCCCTCAACAAATGCAACGATTACGGCAGTTCGTTATCTAAACGGTTAAGACGTTAAACACAACAAATAGAACCCAACATAAAAATGGATTACTACCTTGATAATGCAAGACCGTTACTCCTCTTGTTAAAGAATCAACAGCGTTGGAAAACTCTCATTCTATACTACACTGTTTAAACAATGAAGAGAAAACACTCATCTAAATTTAACAAAGGTCTATAAACAGTGATTTAGAACCAGTGCCTAGATCTCCCGGAAACTTCAATTTTAGAACGACAAAGTTACCGTCAAACCTGCGGTGACTGCTAATTCCCTCACCTTACACTCAAAATTCGGCAGCAACACGCCACAACTTCCGTGGCGCAGCTTAGACACTGGAACTGCGGGCATTATGTGAGAGGCTCCACTGATTTCAGTTAATCCATAGGCTAAATATCCACTGTCTTCAAGATCCATAACCTGCCAAGAAATCTTTACCTTGCAAAATGTACTCAATATGCGGATGTGCTTCTATAACGTTTTGCGATTCTTCCTTGCCAAACGGTGCCGCAGCAACGAGGATCGTTTTAACGCTGCTAATGTCGAATTTCTTCACTAACGGATGTCGAACCAGAAAGTTTAAAATTGGAGGCACGACAAACAGGAATTCTGCCTATATGATTTTCTTCATAAGTTGAAGATGAGGGGCACAGTTTATTCAAAAGCGACACATTACCTTGTAAGTTTGAATAAGGTTCAGGAACAGCTCAGATTTGAACTCTTCCATCGTGATCATTACAAAACCTCTTAACAGTCCAACGAGAAATATGACCGTTCCGTAGATATGATAAAACGGTAGAAAGCAGATAATATTGAAGCCTTTTACCGGCAGGGTGATCTTTTCAGCTCTGAAAAGGCGAATACTTTGAATCTCATAATTCTGACCGTCTGATATCTTACTGATCTAGGATTTGAACCATCGACGCTACATTGTAGTGCGAGAGTTTCACTGCCTTCGGATGCAATGTTGTACCGCTGGAAAGCGGACATATGCAGAGGTCCTTTTTGCAGTCGAATGACACTGAAGCCAACAGTTGTTCACCGCCGAAATCGAAGTCCATTTCAGAGAGACGAATGCTATCACCGTATGCGCCAAAATCGCATGGGTCTACGGTAATAATTTCCTTAAATAAGAAGCACCTAAGTACGTAAACAAGTACAAATATACAGTAGTACTGTAATCACAGTTTATAGCCAAACCTCAAAAATTATACTTGACTAGTTCAATCCTGTCATGGAGACCAAAACGCATCTTCAATATTGATGACTGTTGCTTAAAAGGCTACACATGTCGGATTACAGCTGAGTCGTCGGCTCGTAAGACATTCTCCATGCAGGTGACTATTTAAATACTCAAGACTCTCATAAAGAGAAAGTCGGTAGGAAGTGGATTTTGCTGAGATCTACATGAATCCAGTCTTACACCTCTATTCGCAGAATGAACAGCCTTATCCTTCAATTTAAAACTAACCTGCACGATTTCCGATGTCCTCGGAATTTTATGCGGATTAAATGCCACCAGTTAAAAATTCATATGAACAAGCTAGAAATAAAGCGTCCAACGAAAGTTTTTTTTGATATCAACGCCGTTATAACTTATGCCACAAAAGATTTTGATTTAAATGAGGAAATGCATGGAGACACTGGTCAGATCAGTCACTGAACATCGGCAATTTTCATTTACGAAAGCATTATCTACTCTAGATGTCACAGCCTGCTGGAGCAAACTTCTCGCAGCCGTGTTAGACCGGGGAAAAGCTGCAGTGAAAGCCCTCCTCGTTGACCTGTCATTCGCATTTAACCTATTCGTTGACCTGTTATTCTTAGAGGCATCCTTCTTAATAAACTGAGGGGGGAGGATTAGCTCCGTCACTGCTATAATGGCTGACGGATTATTTCTTGGCGTGTCAGCAGTTTGTCTCCATCGGTAAGCCACAGTGGTCGACTGCACATAACCGGCTTAGAGTGTTTCAAGGTTCAGTTTTGTCGCCCCTACTGTTCA